GGCGGCGAATTAAGCGCTGCAGCTGAAGCCTGGCAATTTTACCTACTAGTTAATGGTGCTAATTCACACCTAATGTGAAGGCCAGCTCCTGCGGAGCCCGCAGGTGACCAGCAGGGGAGCCGGGTGGCAGCAGGGGCTCACAGTGTGCCCAGGTGCTGCTGCCAGCCCCGTTCTACTCACGTGTAGACATGACCAAGTTCAAGTGCGCTGTGAACACAGCACATCTGCCCAGGCAGAGCCCCACCACAAGCAGCAGCACTGGGAACGTGGCAGGAATCCACCCCTTCTCTTCCTAGTACTGCTTCAACAAGGCCCTTTTGAATGAAAAATCCAATGAGAAGGGAAAAAAATTGCTGAGCGTCCCAGCCCAGAAAACCAGGCTGTGAATACAGCCCAGCCTGACCCCGGGGCCACTTTCAGCCAGGCCTCCCATTTCCTCTCTGAGCTTTGCTTCTCTTTTTCTTTTGCTTTTTTCTTCTTCTTTTTTGTATTGGTGCAGTCCCCAGTTCCCAAGGAGGTGACAGCCCAGGGGGGTCAGCCCTCGAGTTTCGACCACAGCAGAAATGCAGGAAACCCCAGCTGCAGGTTTCCTGCTCCTGCCACCCTCCCCCAGCAAAACCCAACCCCAGCGTGGGCACATCACGGTTTGTCCGTTACAGGTGCCTCAAAGCCTGAATCATTAACTCCACCATCAAGCACTGCTCAAACACAGACTAAATAGAAGATCCTGGTGCCAATAAGTTAGAGCATCGTAACAACTTTCACCACGGCAAATCCTTTTAGCACAGCACCCAAACTTGCATTTGGCACTTTAAATATCCCTATAAACCAGCCCTTAGAAGCTCAATAACGCATTTAAGAAACTTGCTAATGTCAGAGTGAACTCTGTGTTAACGAACACTAATACTAATGGGAGCAATTGATAAAGACGAGTGAGCACAGAAGGACCCAGCTGGGCGCAATGGAGGAGTTAAGCGTCGCTCTCCCTCACCACTGTCCTGAGCAAGACAAGAAATGCAAATGGAAGCCTTTTCCCTTTCCTTTTCCCTTTCTTTTTCCCTTCCCAGTTAGGTGGTTAGTGCCAGTCTGGCAAGACAAACAAGAGCAAAAACTCAGTGCAGAGAAGGACCCAAGCACAGGGCCCAGGACACGGCAGGGCTCCTCACGTCGCCCTGTGGCTGCTGCCTGGGCCGGGGGAGCCTTGTCCCAAAGCCAGCCCAGCAGCGAGGACACCCAGTACCTCGTGTCCCCCTCATCCACTCTGCCTGGCTGCCCTCATGGTGAATTCAGAGCTTTCTTTATCTGTTGGCCTTGCACTTTTCTTTGGACTTTCCTGGATGGGAAATCATCACACCGGAGAGCATTTTTTTGCACAGCTTATGGCTTTTTCTCTCCTTATTCCTGGCTCATTTTGACACATCCTATACACCAAACTGACAGCTTACAGACACCCACGAGTGTTAACACCCTGCCCGTAGCCTAATCAGAGCAACATCCTTATCGGTTAATACCGACCCGCAAGGACTCGCTCCCAGGGCTGTGAGCAGGCCGGGCACCAGGGCTGTGCACGCAGCAGGAACCAGGGGCCTCCCTGCCCACTAAGCCCCTATTCCTGATCAGATTTAGACCATTTTCTGCTCTCTCATGCCCATGGTCTGCACTGGGCCAGAAACAACCATGAGTGTTTCTTTCAAACTGCAAAATTTGGCCACAGAAATATAAAGTCCAGGGAGGAAAAGGAAACAAAAAGCTCCAGAATGTGCTACAGGGTCCAGGGAGCAAAGATGCGAAGCAGAGCTGGGTCTCTTCCTCACCTCAGACTACTGATCAGAAGAAGTGCCAGCGCACACTGCGAAATGGCAAAACACCAAGGGAGGACATTTCCTGGTGTCTCCTGAAGAAACAGGCAGGGATTGTTGCACCTGATCATTACCAGGAAGGTCAGACACATCATGCGGTGTCCAAGGAGGAGGACAGCTCTGAACCTGGGAGCTCCCTGTCTGGGCCATGCGGGGCCAGGGCGCTACAGGGAGCCACATCGGGCTGGCCACTCTCCCTCACCCTCCACAATAAATACCCCAGAGGTGTGAGCCCTTCTACACCTAGCAGCTAGGAGCGGCTCTGCAAGAGGGAGGAAACCATCCCTATGAGTCCTCCTTCTGCCTCCAGCACGCGCTGCCTGCCAGAGCTGCGCCTGCTTGAATTTCAGCCCCATTGCTCTGCTCCAGGAGCAGAGATGTGCTCTGGGAAATGAATGTTGGGAGAGGCTGCAGTCCTTTTAACTCCTTCCATTCACCAACACAGTCCCACTTATGTGGCATCAGGAAGGAGGAAATACGCGGGATAAATAAGCAGTGTGATGCACCAGCTCCAGAAGTGGGAACAAGTAGCAAGTGGAGAAGCACTCACCCGCACGCAGTAGGTCGTGCCCGTCTCAGCGATGTTTTCAGTGCTCTGCACGAGGCTCCTGTCCCGGCTGCCTGCGGGAGCAGCCTCCTCGGAGCCCCACGCGGCGCCGGCACCTGCGCCCTTGATGCCAAGGAGCAGCTTGTCTGGCTCAGGCTGCGGGTAGGATGCAGAGAGGCAGCTGATCTCAGGTGAGGTCGGGCTGCTTGGGATGGTGACGCACTCTGTGAGTTTAATTCTTGGCACCTCTTTTGTTCCCAAACAGAAGCTTTTCAGCCCCGGCAGGCTGGATGGGTTGGCGAGTTTAATGTTAGCCATGCGGGGAATCAAAGCACACAGGGTGGTGCAGGTGTCCTGGCTCCCCAGGGAGACATCTTCAGTCAGTAAGTTAGGCGTTGAGCAATGGGAAGAGGAGGAAGATCCTTTGATATTTAAAGACGTATTTTGTGTACTTTCTTCTAGTGATGTTATCGAATCATTCCTGAATCGGCTGTATTTAGCCCTGTGCAGCATTCCTGGATGTCTGAACAACCCTACATACAGTACGTGTCCACTGAGGCTGTGCGGGTCGCGTTCTCTCATAGCCTTGGCAGTCCTGTAACTGGATACTCTTGCATGAATTGGCTCTTGTGGTGAAATTATATAGAAATTAAGCAATTCAAACAATTTTAAAGAGAGAAACCTATCGGCTATTTTTGCTTACTGCCTCTGGAGTGGCTTCTTTTCCTCAGTGCACTAGGCTTAAAACTGTCTTGACAGCTGGTATCTTGTGAGCAGCAATAAAAGAAGCAGATAGGAAAGTGTAGCAATGCTCCAGCAGTTCAATCTGAAGAGCTGCTATCCAAACCTAGGCTTGTTTCTGCCTCAAGCAACCGAGCTACTAAATCACTGCTCGCTTTGAAGACCTGCTGTTGGAGCCTGCATCATTAACGGGGTGGTCCTGGCTGCAGCAAGAGCTCAGCGGCTTCCAAACAAAGCACAGCAAAACAGCTCGAACCTCGGACCCGTTCTCAGACTACCAAGAAGACAGCAAGGCACCCAGCACTCAGCATTTCCAGCGTCAGCCGCCCCAAGGAAGGAAAGCCCCTCTATGCTGCCATCCACACGGCCTTCATTCATTGAATAAATAATAATAATAACCAAGAAAAATACTGATCTGAACAGAGGCAGCAGTTCCCAGCGCACGTCTCGCTAGCTCTTGCCGGGAAGTACTTCCGCAGCATCCTGCGGCCCCGCCGGGAGCCGCGCTCTGTCCCGGCGCTCCGCGGCTGCGGCGGCCCCTGCTCCGCGCCGGCCCCGCCGCCCGTTTATGAATGAAGTTTTTGTGAATGACGGCGGCGCG